CTTGTGCAAATTAATTGAAATAAAACGAACAATTCCATCATTATTTTTTGAAGATCTTCAAAGATACTTTTTTTTTCGTATTTTTCCAATGAAACATGACCCAGTGCACATGTTATTACTTCGTATGTTCATTCCACGAAGTCGTTCCTTGCAGACTGACCACAGATTCACGCTTGGATTTAGATCAGGCGAGTTTCCGGGACAGTCTATAGTACTTTGATTTGATCACTGGTAAGGCTTGCTAATGTTTTCGCGGAGTATTCCAATTTTCGTATGCTTCCTTCGATTAACGTCCAGCGCAGACAATGGTCGTAGGACAACTAATCGACAGTCGAGACAATAGTGCCTGTGCGTGATAAAAATCTGATGCATTCACGGATGACGCAATATTTTTCAAAGCCAAACTAATTTCATCATACATTCCGAAAATGGATTCATATTGCTGCACACCACTGCAAATGAACTAATCTGAGGAAAAAAATAGAAATCGATTACACCCTGTCACTCCAGTGGATGTAAAAGTGACTGTATGGTGAAAGAATGGAAACTAAAGCGGTTGTTTCAATTAATGTGAACATGGATGTATGTACACCTCTATTAATACCCTGTATTAATAAAAGAATTCTATTATTCACTTGTGTTGGTAAAAAATACAAAACTCGACTTTTCTATGGATGCGTCTAGTTTTTGCTAAGTACTGTATGTTTAGTTTTTAAGAGAAGCACAAAAATTATATTTAAATTTAGTTACTGTAACTTGAAAACGAAGATAATCGTTTCTGGTCAAATTTCATGTTATTAATTTTTTACTAAAAGATAGGCCTTTTTTTTTTATTCGCACTACTTACATGCTGATATAAATCAATTTTTAAGTGTCCAAGTTTTTAGATGGAAATTCTTTCGAATGGTTAGAAAATAAATTAAAGAAATGTTGTTATTTGTGGGTTCTCCATTGCGACAGTATGTAATGAATTTAGATATGTAATCCCAACAGAGTTATAAGTTATTGACATTCGGAAAAACTTTCATGAAAAATATGCCCCGAAAATAATATCCAATAATGTATTTCACCTTCAACAGATCAATAACGAAAAATGTGTGTGCATGCATTTGTGTGTATGTTTTTAAAATAATGAAATCTTATAATATTTTTCTCAAGATGGGATCACTCGAGACTAAAAAAAGAAAGAAAATGAATAACTTTTAAAAAATTAAATATATTTATTGAAAAAAAAAACAAAGAAACTATACTATATATATATATATATATATATATATATATATATATATATTGCTATCCTCTGCATTACCTCGAACCATCGCCAGTGAGACACGCTGCAAAAACCACTCTGTTTCGCGAGGCTCGTCCCTAATCGAGACGCCATCGCGCCAATCCTCGAAGAACGCCATCGAACGAGGGCAATAACCCCTGAAGTCTCCACTGCCACAGGGTAAAAAAAAAAATCTATCAGCAAAAGAAGAATATTTAACTATTTTTTATCTCTGCGTCCCGGGAGACGGATCCTGGCTCAACCACGGACCTGATTAAATTACCGGCCGAAAATGTATCCGCACAGGTCACATCCCAAATCAACGACTTCCCCATTTTAAAAGGGAAAATGGTAATGACATCCGGTCGCTTTCCATCACCATGGTCGAGGCCTACGGGTTCGATTTGGGAAGGGAAACCCAGCTGTATTCAAACCTCTACTGATGATGTCATTTATTGTTTCATGTTGTGGAAAGCGGCCGGCACTACGATGACAGGAAGAGGATGCAAATCAAACTCATCAATAGAAGCTCCACTTCTGCATTTGTGACGCTCACATAATTTGAGTCCAAGACGAATCGCGACTCCGACTCGAGTGCACTCATCATCTCGAAGGATACCGGTTGTGAAGCAGATAGTAGACAGACGAGGCGATGCTGATCCAGAAAGAGCTTCAAATTAGTGAAATTGGCCTCGCATTTTATTTTATCCCAGCTTTTTTTGTTTTGATGTGTCTAGTGGGATAGAAAGTAATTCTTGGGTCTAGATGCTGCAAGCTTTTAAAAATCGTTTAACATTTATTATATTCTCCGCTTTTAAGAGTCCTAGTTTTGAGATGGAAATTCTTCAGGATAAATAGAAAATAAAAGTATTGCTTGTGATTATGTAGCGCCAGTCCATGAGGTTCGAAGAAGGATTGTGTTCGGGCTTTTCTCGCTTAACGCCATTTTAACCATTGAGCTGACAGTTAAGATATTTCTGAACGGATTTCACGACATTCATGACACCTATATAAAGGTCTCGATCTGACGAGGCTATTAAGAACCAAGACATGAGGATTTAGGTTTTGTTTTTTTGTTCGTTTTTTTTTTGGTTTTGCGATGTTGAAAGAAACTATCTATATTTCTGGTTGGTCTAAGTTTAATTTATTTTCTCCTATACTTAATTGGTTATAAATGATTCATACACAAAAGTATTTGAAGTGTTTAACATTTACTAATTACACATCCTGAATTCTATGATGGATTAAGGTTGGTTAAATAAATCTAATGATAAAAATATCTCACAAATACATCCCACACTTTACGAAGCACTTTATCTATGTAAAATATGTTTGTTTTGTTTTTTTGTTTTGTTTTGTTTTTTGTTTTGTTTTTTTGTTTTGTTGTTTTTTGTTTTTTGTTTTTTTTTTGCCAGTGGAGAGTGCCATGATGCCATTTCTAACCGTAGGTCTCTGGGCGGGACCCGGAAAGAAATGTATAAACGCCAGAAATCAAAGGAAATAATAATAATAATAATAATAATAATAATAATAATAATAATACGGAGATAGTACCTGTAATAATTTTATGGGACTATATAATACACACAGACAGAGCAGCCAAAACTAATCGCCTAGACATCGTTATTAGAGACTGCAAACAAAAAATTCCCTCCTTATTGATATGGCAGTCCATGCGGACTGCAATGTATCTTTAATCTTCAAAAAGCTATCAAAATACAAGGACCTCGAAATCGGAATTTCAAAAATGTGGCACATGAGATCAAAAATAATCCATGTTGTAGTTGGAGCCCTCGGATTGATTGGAAAAGATTTCATTGGTGTTATTGAAGGGTTTCACGACAGCTCTCATGCCTTAAAAAAATGCAAAAAAAATGTTCTCACGAGTACAACCGACGCCTTACGAAGGGCTTTATCGATGTAAAATATGTGCTTTTTTTTTAAATTGCTCAGTAGAAAATATAATGATGGCATTGCTGTCCTTAGGTCTCTGGTGGAGACCCGGAAAGAAATTAGTACAAACCGGAAATCAAAGAAAATGAAATAAAAATAATAATTAATAGTACCCACGAAAATTTCACTCCTTACCTATTTTAATATTCGGATGTATCATATTATGAAATGAGTCGAGTTTCCCGACTACAAAATTGCATGGATAAATATTTGAGCTTAACAAATTTAACACAACAGTATAATAAGAAACGTATGTTTATATATATTTATATTAAAAGTTTTGAGAGAACTTTGTTTCCTACCCAACATAAGTGTCTTTTTGCTTCAGGAAGCGCATGCTTATTGACATAGCAGGACAATCTGAGTCAAACACCGCCATGAAAATTATCGAGAAGGACCTGGAGATCGCTATTAACAGGATGTGGGAAGCTATATCAATTTGTAGGCATTTTCTTTTCTTTTCGTTTTTTTACAATTAAAACGAAGACTGGGACTGTAACAATATTAATCGAAGCTTGTGAGAAGAGAAAAGAACAAGTTTACAGTGTCCCAGGTAACATCAACAAACAAGTTACCCAGAAGATCACCCTACTAGTAACATAACATATACTAAGAAAAGTACCATAAATTAAATGACAATAATAATGATAATATATGGCACATGGGAACATCAACAATCACCGTTGTAGTTGGAGCCCTAGGATTGGTTGGAAAAGATTCCAGTAGATTAATTGAAGGGATTCCTGGAAGCCCATGTATCAAAGAAATACAAAAAATGGTTCTCACAAGTACATCCCACACTTTACGAAGGGCTTTATCTATGTAAAATATTTGTTTTTTTTTTTTGTTTTGTTTTTTGTTTTTTTTGTCAGTGGAAAGTGTCAGGATGCCATTTCTAACCTTAGGTCTTTGAGCGGGACCCGGACAGATATGTGTACACGCCAGAAATCAAAGGAAACAAAAGAATAATAATAGTAACAACAACAACAATAATAATAATACCAATAATAATAATAAAAGAATTACAAAAAAATGTTCTCTCGTGTACAGTTCACATTCCTTACAAAGGGCTTTATCTATGTAAAATATGCATTTGTTTTTTTTTCGAAATTGCTCAACCGAAAATGTCATGATGCCATTTCTGAACTTAGGTCTCTAGTTGGGACCCGGTAAGAAATGAGTACACACCAGAAATAAAGTAAATAATAATAATAATAATAATAATAATAATGTGCGAACACTTTAAAAAAGATGGTAACAAACACTGGTATGAACATCACCCAGCACCGGTTACAGAAATAGTAGAGATCACAATTCTATGGGATTACAGAATCTTTAGAGTCAGGAAGATTGAAGCAAATAGGCCGGACATAATTGTCAAAAAACGAAAAGAAAAAAAATTGCCTACTATTTGATATAGCTTGTCCACTTGACTGTTACATAGAAGCCAAGGAATTTGTAACACTATGGAAGTATAAAGTCCTGGAAATCGAAGTAGAAAAATGTGCAAATTGAAAACAAGTATAGTACCAGTCATAGGTGGTGCGCTTGGAATGATAAAAAAGGGAACACAACAACACGTTTAAAAAAATCCCTGGAAATTCCAGCTTAAGGGAAATACAAAAAATGTCTTGATGAGTACAACCCGCACACTAAGAAGAACTTTGTTTAACGCTAGTGAAATTGTGGAAGTTAGAAAAACAAATCTTGAAATGTAGTCAGAACAACATACAGCTCCCTGACTAATGTCTTCCCACAAACTTCATAGGATGTGTGGCTATAACAGAAATCGAAATGTAAAAGGAAGAAAAAGAAGAAGAAAAAAAGAAAAAAGAAGAAAAAAGAAAAAGAAGAACATAAAGAAGAGAAAGAAAAAAAGAAAAAGAAGAAAAAGAAGAAGAAGGAAAAGAAAGAAGAAAAAGAAGGAGAAGAAGAAAAAGAAAAAGAAGGAAAAGAAATAAGAAGAAAAAGAACAAAAAAGAACAAAAAGAAGAAGAAAAAGAAGAAGAAAAAGAACATAAAGAAGAAGAGAAAGAAAAAAGAAAAAGAAAAAGAAAAAAGAAAAGGAGAAAATGAAAAAGAAGAAGGAAAAGAAAGAAGAAAAAGAAGGAGAAGAAGAAAAAGAAGAAGAAAAAGAAGGAAAAGAAAGGAAAAGAAAGAAGAAGAAAAAGAACAAAAAGAAGGAGAAAAAAGAATATAAAGAGAAAGAAAAAAGAAAAAGAAAAAAGAAAAAGAAGGAGAAGAAGAAAAAGAAGAAGAAGAAAAAGAAGGAAAAGAAAGAAGAAGAAAAAAGAACAAAAAGATAAAAAAAAAAAAAAAAAAAGAAGAAATTGACGCAGTCGTACGTGAATCGCCTTCGATGTTATAAATTGAGAATTCTGTAATATTGTCGATTTATCTGGTAATATATGCCGCAATTAAAATTTAATTTAATAAACGTATATATATATATATATATATATGTTTCCCCCTAGTGTAGGAACATTAATTAATCTGAAACTTTTAAAACCATTTATTTTATTTTCAACATCATCCTTGATAAGACACAGAGTGTGTTGAAACAAAATGGCTATTTTTTGTAGTGATTTTATAACATATATTATGTTAATATATATATATATATATATATATATATATATATTGCTTATTGCACCAACTTGATATTGACGAAGAAGTAGTCTGTCTGTAATTGTCGCTTTTAAAGCATAGATGACGAAATTGGCGCTAGTAAACAACAGTGTATCTTGTGTCTCCTTTCTAGTAAACTCCTTTTTTATAGACAATACCTTTAAAGAAATCGACCAAAGTTATTATCAGCAAGAAGAATTCTTATCTCCTGTCATTGGACATTTTTTCCACACTACATTTTCAACGGCAATTTTTTTTTTTTTTTTCAAATTCAAGACCCGCTTATGGTAGAAAATTATTGAATTAGATATGTGATAAGAATAGAAAAAAAAAGTTAAGCGAAAATAATGAGGATCAGGAGTATAGGTAGCGAGTGACCGTTGGTTTAAAAAGATTAAGATTTTAATGTTCGGTAAGTATTCACGTGGGAGTTTGTTCCACAAAGTAGCAGTTTTTTTTTTTTTTTTTTTTTAGGAAAAAATTGTCAAGTCTGGGAAATGTGATTCGGGCAGAACCAGACCAGACGTACAGCAATGCGGCACTTTTGGTCTCATCTGATTCTTGTAAAGGCAAAAGATCGAAGAAAGAGTTAAGAACAAGGGATCGACTATTTTTTCTAAAGTCTTTAATGATGGATTGTATGAGTTCCACTTTAGATCCCGAGTCTCTTTTTCACCCCAAGTAAGGCGATAATTCCACTAATGCGCAAGAGAGCTTAGGGGCTTCATTGCCTTACTTGGGGTTAAATCAGTTAAAGAAAGGTATGCCGTCATTCCATTTTTTAATGTATCGCTATTTTGGGGACGTCATCACTGAAAAAAGGATTTTCTAAATTTTTGGAATGGGAAGATAATATTGTTTTTTTTGTGTATTTTTTTGTTGTTTTTTTATCATTTCACCACAAGCAAGGCGATAATGTCACTAAGACACAAGAGGTTACTGAGATGGAAAGAGAGTGAGAAAACTTTAGAAGGAACCGGAAACCCTATACTAAACATGAAACAAGTTATAAAGCTATATTTTTTGTTTAAAAGAACGAGGAGAAGTGCGAACCGGGCGATAGCCATACTTGTTCACTCCTTGTTTAAGATGCTAAAAGTAATAAATAAAATATGGACTATAACGAAAACATACCAGAAAGATAAAATAAACGGAGGAAATACGGTTTTGATTGTTGAATTCTTTAATTAATAATGTGATAATTCTAATTTATATAAATACAATAATTGCTAATTATTTAAAATTAAGGGACCTTTAAATTTAATCAAAAGAATTTTCATAATTTTCCCTTTTTTTTTTTAATTGTTCCTTTTTTCCGTGAAAGATATAATTGATTTTGTTTATGTCTCTTTTAATCATTGGATTCCATTTGCATTAATCAAATCATTAGAAATTGTCACCTGATATTAATTTTACTAAAAATTGCGAAGAGCTTAAAATTCTTCAGTCCGAAATCTAACCGTCAGATTCCGGCAAATGCTATTTAACAGCCTAAAAAAAAAAAAAAAAAAAAAAGGTTATCTATCTCCACCGCCTCCTTAACTTTTTTTTTTCTGCCATTGGTTGCGTTAAATAGCTCAGGAATTTCTATCTGCTACCAGAAGAATGTCCTTGATTTAGTTCTGGAGAATGGAATGCAGAACAATCCGAAACATTCCTCGGCGTATCGAACAATTTCTTATCGAAAGGATGGGACATCGAGAGGACATTCCTTGGGATGACGTCATTAGCCGAGAATGAACGAGAAGATCCGGGGTGGGTGAGGCAGGCGTTGCAGCAGAAGAACGAGTCAAAGAGTCAGCAGAAGGGAATGGGAAACGGATCTATGAAATGAGCAGACTTCCATCACAGAGAGTCAATCAAAGAATGGATGTCGAACGAGAGAGAATTGGGAACACGTAAAGGAGGTTGGAGAAGCAAGTTTGAAATGAGAACGTCGAAATTAAGAAAAAAAAAATATCGTAAAGGTTGGGGATTACGAAAAAATGAAATAAAAACACCCCCACCCCCACAAAAAAAAGAAAAAGAAAAGTGTTATTTTAAAACAGTAAAGGGATGGGTAGGTACATTACGTGGGGTGATATGAGTAATACAGGGACTTGAGGATCTGTTTAAGAAGTATGAAGTATGAGGTGGGACGCTGGTAGAAGAATAGGTTAGGAAAAAATGGTTCCAAGAGATAAAGTGCGGGGGCGGGGGTTAAAAAGAATGGAATTGTATAGAAAAGAATTTTCAGTACAAGAGGCATGAAAAAAAAATCTCCCTGGTATGGGGTGGAAATAAAAGTACAAAGAATAATTTATAAAAGAAAATGTGCAGGGAAATGTTCGAAGAAAAAACGGTTGAATGGGAACACAAAGAGAAAAGGACGATAACATGAAAGAAAGGAATGGTAAAAAAAAAATAATATTCTTCAAGGAAGACCTAAATTACCCAACATTACGCTGAAAATCTCGTTCCTGATCAACAACACACTATGATTATTCAATTCATATTCTTTGTGAACGAATCAAAACAACAAATAAAATTATTTCCAAAAAAATAAATCAAAGATATCGTTAATCGTGAAATGGAAGCGAAATTAAGAAAAATCCCTGACGCAAGCAAAAATACAAAGATTCTTCAAAATGTTTCTCGACAGCTTAGTGTAAAAGAAAGAATTTTTGTAAGATGCGATGTAAAGAAATGGGAGGTATATGTATGATAGTCTGCTTTTAAGAAGACGAAATCCAATTGCCCGCAACGAAGATTACTGTTAACTGTCCCGAATAATTAGTGTGTCACTGATTAATAAAAAAAAACCTTCCCTAGCTTTGATTAAACGGGCAAACGGCGAATGCCATCCTCTTTTAACTTTGGGGCTTTCATCAACGTCAAAAGAGTCACGGTTAATTTGGCTTGAACAGAGTGACGATTCATAATGGAATAGAGTAACTTCTTCTTCAGGACATAGACGATCATAGCTACCCACAATTCCCTGTCCTTTGTGCTTTTAATACAGAGTGTTCCAATATTTTGGCATTGAAATACTCGAAAACTAATTAAGGATATAAAAACCCGCCTGATATATTCTGAAAGAATTTAATCTCAAGTTTTACATGGAATGTTCAAAGATGTTCAATTGTGAGCACCGTTGGTCACACGGCACACATCAAGCTGATAGTCCAATTCATGCCAAACGCGTTCCAGTATTACGTTGTTGATGGTTGCAAAAGCTTCCGCTATTCGGGCCTTTAGTTCATCCACCTCTTTTGGAAGAGGGGGCACATAGACCAGTTCTTTCACAAACCCCCTACAAATAGAAACCGCAGGGTGTGAGATGTGGAGACATGGGAAATGTACGTTGAACAAATGTCCATGATTCAGTTTTTGCAAACTCAAGGAAGCAAAATGCCTTTTTCTGGGTGAGTGAACGCCATACGGGATCTGAAAAAAATATGAAAAAATCATTAGCATTACAAAAAAACTTAATGAATTTAGCTTTAAAATGGTACCAGTTTCATCTTACTATCGTTCAGCAGATATAAGAACTTGAAATGTACCCAAGACTTCTGGAACACCTTGTATTTTTCTTTTTTATTATTTTCCTTAAACATTCTTCTGCCATCCATTTATTCAAGCTCACTAGATAGTTTATGCGTTGTTTTCCTTTGTATCTCTTGCCTTCAATCGGCCCTACGAGCATCAGATTTTCCGAGCCTTCTTTCTACATTATGTACCAAAGAAACTTCAGTTAACTATTCCTGATGATGACTATGTGTAACTTTTTTTTTTTTGCATTTTCTATTAAATTTAGACGTTCATATTTTCTGCCCATGGTATTCTCAGCATCCTTCTGTAGAACCACTTTTCTGTTTCGTTAAATCTCCTCTTCATATGTGCTGAGTTTTTTTTGTTTTTGTTTTTTTACAGTTAGGTATACTCTATACAAGGCCTAAGAACCACTCAAGGTAGATGCTTAGAAAGTAAGCGACACAGTTTATGCAGATAGGTGGGGAAGAGTTAACCTTGACTTGAACAGGTTAAGATTATACACTATTTACATTATTCGGAGTATTGTCCTCATCTCTGTCACCATATTTATTACAACGTTTCGGCAGTTGTACGCTCCTGCCTTTTTCAGGTAGCTCGAATGTCAAACTGAACCCTTTATCTCGCTCACTGGGGTAGACTGTGCTAGTTCCACGTGCCATGTTTAATGGATGTCAGTTATCAGTTATTTCCTGTTAATTCCCCTCTTCAAGTTCTCCACTGACTTAACTGGGTATTGAACTCACACTCTTTGGGTCTTGTCACTGGATCTAACCAACGCCTTTATCCACTATGGAGATAACTGTAATAAATATGGCGACAAAGGTGAGGACAATAGTCTGAATAATGTAAATAGTGTACATAATACCTCATCTCAGAAATATAGACAGATTAAGATTGTAGTGATTAAAAAAACATCCTCTTGGGAGTCGTTTCCACAAAGCAGTAGTTCTGCCCAAATATGACACCAGTACTCCATTTTACGCTTGATCTGACTCAAGTGAAGATAAAAGACAGCTCGATGAGTCAGGTACTTGGTGGGGCGGTACATGAAACCGACTATTTTACCTGCATCTTTAACGTTGGATCATATGTACGAGTTTCACTTGAGTCCTGGATTGAGTTTGAGGCCCAGTAGTTGCTCAGGCCTCACTGAGGGAAATCCATTTTTCGTGATTTTTCAGGATCCGATCGACGATGATCAAATGTAGAATAACTAGATTAGTTTTCCAGCCATTGAATGTAACCAGCCAGTCCTCCCTCCCCAGTGAGATGTTAACGCTAGATCAGAGGAATGATCAGCAGCCAAACTCTAGTCATCAAAATTTAGGAAGTGCCCCCTACATATCGTTGTATGACCAGGATAGATATTCACAAATGACAGGAGTATACGCTTAAGCAGATCAACTATGTAAAATAAAAAGAAGATTGATCCGTGAAGAGACTCCTGGAGGGCGCCTTCGTTGATTGCTACGAACCGGGAGAACAGGTCGTTAACTTCAGGGAGCTACCCGTTAGGAAGGTCTTTATTATTGAGAAAGTTCTTCCAATGATTCCAGTGATTTTCCAAGCGTAGCTTACATGTGGCACAAGGCCGAAAGTATGGGGCACCCAATGAGGATCAAACTCACTATACAGTCGTAATTGTTCTAGCGAGACAAGCTGTTAATCATTACACCACGCCGAGGGACTCAAAAATTATTTTCTAAGCGTAGCGTAGATGTGGCACAAGGCCGAAAGGACGGGGCACCCAGTGAGGTTTGAACTCACTACTCAGTCGTAATTGTTTTAGAGAACCAAGCTTGCTAACCATTACACTGCCTCGAGGTGCCCAATTGATTCTCCAAACGTGGCTTAGATGCGGCACAAGGCCGAAACTCTGGGGCACCTAGTGAGGACCGAACTCATTTTTCAGTCGTAATTGATCTAACGAGACAAGCTTGCTAACCATTACACCACGACGAGGTGCCCAATTCACTACCATATAGGTGGACTGATATTACATAACAGTTCAGTACTCCTTTCTTTGTTTCTAACTACATTTTTCTGTTTCTTAATATTTTACTTAGCTTTAAGGAAGCATATTTGTTATTCCAATGTACATTCTAATTTCATTGTCGGCTTTTCAGTCTTCTGTTAAAACACTTCCCAGATATTTAAATTGTATTTTTTTTCATTTTATTTTTTTGATATAATAGTGTAAGTTGATCAGCGTCTTTGAGAAAAGAAATACCATGCCGCAATTCACTCCGCCAGAATTTTGGAAACGGTATTGTTTGGCATTCGCACCAGAAGCTCAAATACGAATATTTCAGAGTGTTTGGTTGTCAATCTGAGGAAAGGATTCAGAAAGAGTTGGATGACTCTAATGGTGATTACGAAGGCACGACAGCTCGGAAAATTCACTGATCGTTCTGATAAGAAAAAAAAACTGAATTTGTTGGTGAAGGTCTCAGACTCAATACGGAGCCCTATATCAAGTGCTTTGAGGAGGTAATTCTGCTCTGGGTCAAGAGGGTCGCTGTTGGAAAGCCTTTGTCTGGCAACATGATTCTACACTATACAACTTATAGGATAAAATAAATTGCATTGCTTATTGACCCACCAACTTGGAATTAATAATGAAGAAGAATTTAAAATTCATAGGGAATACTGAAGGCAAAAGAAAGTGTCAGATAAAATATCTTTATATAACTATCTCATTTTCTCTCTTTCCTTATATATGTTTATTTTTCTTTCTTTTACTCTCTCTCTCTCTCTCTCTCCCTCTCTCTTTCTGTATCATTCCCTATTTTTGCCTATGTTCCTCTCTATTTTTCTATTTCTTTATGCCTCTGTCTTTCTAACTCTATCTACATCTCTGTATATTTATCTCTGTTTATATGCAAGTATTTTCCCTATTCCTCTCACTCTCTCTTTTATATACACTCTTTTCTCTCTCTCTCTCTCTCTCTCTCTCTCTCTCTATCTATCTATCTATCTATCTATCTAAATGTCTCATCTACACCCTATCTTAGGTTAGTAAGCAAATCTTATAAACTTCAATAATTCAAATTTGGTTTGAAAAAAATGGCAAATTTCATGCAATCAATTTAGATGCCAAAACAAAGCCTGAGTTAAAAAATTTTTGGTAGAATCAATATGTTTTACTGAAGTCATTTGATGTCTTCGAAAACACTGCCGTCTGAAGTTATTAGGCAAAACCAAATAATCACATTTTCCTTCAATAAAAAGGTAATAAAATCATTTAAAATTGATCAACACCTATAAGGGAAGAAATAACAAACATATAATGAGTCTTTCAATCCTTTGCATTTTCTTCTCAATAATCCATGCCAGTAATCTATTATCCATTGTTTTTTGTTTTGTTTTGTTTTGTTTGTTTTTGTTTTTTAGTGTTTTTTTTGTTTTGTTTTTTTTTACTTCAGCAGGTTCAATTTCCAACATGGTGGTCTTATTTGCTTCCTATAGGTCTGTTTTACTATAATATTGTTTGCCATTTTCATATCATTTCATCTTCACAACTGACCATAGATTTTCCACCTGATTCAGATCAGGACTTAATGGTGGTCATTCTAGTTTCTTCTCTTCTATAAATCGTTTATGTTCAAAGAATTCACAAATAATCTTAAATACATAAGAAAGATCCTTGTCGTGCATAAATACACACTTCACTTTGAAACTGCGAATCTGGGACTTGCAAATTGCAAAAATGTCTTGTTCATAAAATCGCAATAGTTAGCAATGTTCACTTTAACATACCTTTATCGACTTAACGGTTCCGTTTACAATTCCAGCCCATATCATAACACTACCACCTCTTTGTTGCCTTCTTTTGGCTACTACAGGCACGTTTAAAATTGATAAATTTCATGCTTTCGCCCATCCATCAGGTTTATCAAATGTCACTCGAGATTTGTGTGTGAATGTCTATTTTCATGTATTTCTCGTTCCAAATTTGGCGTTATAAAATATTTGCTTTAGGGAAAGATGGTTGCCTAGGAGATTTTCTTTTTACAGATCTCAATTCACAAAGTATTCTACACCTTTTGTCCTTCTTGATTCCTTCAATTCCAGCCTTTTCAAACATCAGAGCGCTGGTCAAAATTATTGTTATGCTATAGGTAACTTTAGTTTACGTTCTTCTCGGGTTAGCAAGTTATTAAAGCCTTTTTCCTTTATTTCCAGTTCTCTACTTATATTTTCAATAGACTTCTTTGTAGATGATCTCTGCTTAGCTTCTCTCATATCCCCAATGTGGGTATATCCTCACACAATATCTTTGTTATTTTCTGTTTTTCAGTTATTGTTAGATCCTTACCTTTACCCATGATTCAATATATATGAGCAAATAGAAAAAATACAGTATTTGTTTTTAGATTTCAGAG